AGAAATTTAATTTTTATTGGTTTTTAGACCATTATGTTTGTATTGTTTGTATGAAGATATTGCAAACAAATATCCAGGAAAGCCAGCTGATGCTATGTTGGTGCAAATCTTATTATTAAGTATATTCAGAATCACCATTACTATATTTATTCATGTAATTTAATTTGTTAATAACAATATTATTTTTTTAAAGATACCAACTGCAACTTTGATAACGATTGTAACCACCTTTACATCATATAAAAATGATTGCATAACTGCCTCACAACAACTTTGTTGGATTGCAGCATGGAGCACTAAAGTAGTTTGGTATGGAATGTAAGCATAAAACTCCAGATAAATTATTTACAAAAGTGGCTATTGATTCTAGAACTATTACTATATGGATTTTGTATGTATCCTTTATTTATTATTTAACAGAATTGGCAAGGAAATTTATATGGTATTATTTCAATTTCTATTTTTAAAGATTAAATGAAGTATTTTGTTCTGATGAATGGCAGCTTAATAAATTATTTAATAATGAATAAAAATCATTATTAATATAAATAATATGTTATATATTAGTTAAATAGCATTTCTGACATTGCTTGATATTGGGTAAGCTTGTAGAAAAGTTAAAAATGCACATATTATATAATTTGGAAATTATATGACCAATTAATAAAGCTCCTGTCATGTTTTTCTTGTTTTTCTTTTCCTAAAGATTATTATTTTTTATTCAACGAAAAGATCTGCACAGAATTTAGCCAATTAGAATTTCTTTTCATGATTACAGGGTATTATCCCTGATTGAATTTAGCCAATCAGAATTTCTTCTAGAATTTTTCATACAATCCCTGGCTGTATGGTGCAGGACCTCTTGAAGAATTAGATGATAATGACATTGTAAGAGATGATATAATCAAAATTTTTCTCCAATTGAAAAATAAAAAAATAATTGACAGGAAATTGAACAAACTTAAAATTTATGAGGAAAATTTTAATAGCAATATAACAATTAGAAATTCAAAACAAGAATTTAACTTACTTGATGATTAGATAAATAAAAAGATAATAATGGAAGTAGTTATGGTACAGGAGTCAAGTGTAGGATTTTGGATGACAAATTCCAAAATTATAGGTATTGCTGAAGGTGCTGAAGAAATGACATATTCTCATTCTTGGAATTATTTAATTATTTGTAATGTATTTTTAAAATTTTTATCTGTATTTTTATAGGAAATTTTAATGTATATTAATATTTTATAATAATAGTGATCAAAATTGCACCCAGCAGGCAAAAAAAATTGAGCCAAGATTTATTATCAAATTATCACGTGATTCCAATACTCTTAATAAGTTAGTATCTGCACATTTCTAATGATGGATTTTAAATCTTGGCAGAGTGACAGATTTCTCGGCTTGTTAATAGTGATGTTAACGTTTAAAAATCCTTAGTCGGCTAAGCTGTTTAATTTTATTCCTATAACCAGAAGGTAACGCAGAAATCCATTACCAAATTTAGTAATTGTGTATGGAGATTATTAGCCGGCTAACATCACTACTTGTTAATGGCTGTTCTGGTTCTGAAAGTTGTTGTAATTCACATAAACAATAGGGTTCAATGGCTGATGACTCTATTCTTGATATGGTTTGATAATAGATTGCATATAAAACTATTAAGTAAATCATTTTTTTTAGTTACCTATGCTATATGGCTCTCAGTGAACATCAGGTTTCCAGGTCTAACTGTTGGGGATAATGATCAAAGGTGCTGTCCTTGATGTGGTTTGATGATAATTCCATATAAAGTTATTAAGCAAATCATTTGTTTAGTACCTGCATTGTTCTCTGAACTTTGGCCCACAGTTAATATTTGAGGGTCTGGTTGTTGTAATTTGATTGGTTCACCTGTTGAAAGTCAGCAATTTCTGGTGACTGATTTCTAGGTTAATGAATTACTAAATTTCTAGATTTCTGTGTAATAGGGTAATTATTAATTCTATTCTATTAATTCAATTTATTTTGAATATGCGTGTGTGTGTTTGGATCTTGATCATAGCAGGGGAATTAAGACATTACTGTTTAAAGATGGAAGGATGCATAAATTTGTTATAATGATATTAACATTAAATTTATAAACAGTAAATCAATAATGTAGTGGTTTTTTTTGCTTTAATATGCCTAATTTTTTTTTATTTTGGACAAAGCACATGTAACTTTTAGTAAAATTAGTTAAAATTATAATTTTATAAATCAAATTTAGCAGAGAAATTAACTTTTATTAGTCCAAAGGTAAAACCAACCAGCAAAAAAAAAATTTCTGGTTACAACGAATAAATATACTTATTGGAATTAGTTTAATTAAAAAGTAATGATTGGAAAATAACATAACTAGTTATTGACTAAATGCAAAGAATAGAAACTCCAGCAGAATCTAGCACTGCAGGTATAATTTGAAACTATACATGCGGCCCAAATTGATTTGTGAATGTATTAATATTACGGCATCTGAGTGATAGCCGTA